CAACTCGACATGCCAACACTTTGATGAAGAGTTGTACGGCGTTCTGATATAACCGAACCAGAACATCTAAAAAGTCTTCCACCCGTTATTGTCAGAACACTGGCTTAGGCAGGTAGGCATGTTCGTGCATCACAAGTCCGCGTTGATGTGGTCGTCCTGAGTAGATTCACATGGAATTTGTGACCACTGAGTTACGATTGTCACGGGATCAAATGTGAATTCAGAATCCTTCACGAGAGAGTGGAAGTCAGTTTATGTGAGCAGCTTAGCGATTGAACTGTTGAAGTTAGTAAAGTGGAAAAGGGTCTCCAACAAAATGTCACTGTGACTTCACCGTCTGAAGCCCTTAATCGTTTCGAGGACGAAAGGGGGTAGGGATGAAGTAATACAAACGTATCTCAATACCTCTATGATGATTTGCTATGTGTTATTGGCTGTGATATTGACTGTATCACCGTACCATGGTTATTCAAAGGTACAATACGACAATTCACTATAATTTTGAGGTGTGCTTATTAGGGAAAAGCGAAAATGTTATTGGACTATGGTGCATCGGTGACCGAGAAAGCGAATAATTCCGGCGACTTCGCGAAAAATAAGGCCAACTAAAACCAATGAAAATAAAGGTTGTACGGGATTACCAGCAAGGCATGGAAGGGGATTCGGCCCGTATTCTAGTTGTTGCAGTTGCGTGAGTTGCCTACATTGAGCAAAAAATGTCTTATACTGCCTTCCACCGTCGCCACCGGTCAGTTGTTTGAGCGAGACATTTGTGTTTCTTGAGAATAATGTTGTCTTACCACATCATGGTGAATCGTTTGCCTCGAAATGTACTTCGAGCCCTCATAACACCCTGTTTAATCCAATTTCCGACCTGACAGCGCCACATGTGATATGCTACAAAGGAGGCTACTGACTCATTAGAGAAGGATATCACAAAAACCATTTTTGTCTCGAACTGTATCTTCAAAAGGTAATCAACTTATTCAAGTACTCATAAAGCACTGTAAAGTGTATTTAAGGAGATAGAGGGAATAGCCGCTGTGATCGCTATCGAACTACGTCAATATTGTTTTCGGTTGTGTTAGATAAACTAATTTCGCTACAAATCGCGAAGGGTTATACAAGTTTGGTCAATACACCGCCCACTTCAAATGAATTGAACAATAGGTATTAGTAAATCATAGCATAATTAAAATAGTCATTGTTTATTGTTAGAATGTTACTGCATTTTTAATGAATTTCGTGAAATGCACTGGAAGTGCACGATGCTGGAAATGCACCTTTCTTGTATTGAAAAGGTTCAAAATATTTAACTCAAACTCTTCGCTTTTCAGGCGCACTTGCATGTAACAAATCTTCTTGTTCTGCAACTGCCTTTTTTATTCAAAGGACTTCTGAGATGACAAGGACGGATACATAATCGTTTACGGTAATCTTTTTGAAGTGTGTCGTTTCGTACTACATATTACTACCAGAAAAAGATGGAGGGAAGGGTAGAAAAGGCAGGCGCCAAGAGAGCATCCGTATGATCCACTCGATGGCAGGCGAATTGTGTCTTTGTTATTCAAATGTCATCTCCAATAAGCTCGTCCGCCATTCATCTTTTTACTACTCGACGCCCAGCCGACTACGGTATTTCCTCCGAGACTCGATGTAGTGCGAAGAGAATTTTGAGTATCTTCCGCCTAGACCAAATGTCTTACCACGACGCTTCGTGACCATATTTGCTTGCTTCTTGTCTTATGGCAATTTGCCATATCATATCACCTCTGCTCTCTTCCTCTCAGTCCATTACGATTCAATGCTGTTATAAATTTCTCAGTATCGAGAAATCGCTTCTGATAATAATGATTTGTGACGTGCATCCTCAGCTATTGGTCTTTTGGAACACTGTGGGATTCATGCCGTTCTTAGCTTTCATCAACTCGCATAGGAAGCTTGCCTCAATGGTGATCCATGACCGATTTTCAAGGGCATTACATCCGATTTTCCCTAAACCAGAAAAAAGTAACCTTGTTATTTCGATAGGAGTTGCTGAATCTGGAACCTAATGTTGTTTTTGGGCCGAGACCCTGAATTCGAAAGTCTGACCCTTGGGTTGCATCCCCTTTGCCACAGATTATGATTGTCTCAGTTCATTTCTTTGAGAAAGCAGTTCTGATCTGGTACTAAGAGAAAAGAGAAACCTCAGCTTGTATACGTTGCCCCACCAATTTGTTGCATAGGCCCGTTTCCGGCTATCAGCCGCTAATCTTGTCCCATCTGTCGATGTCTACCATAGACCAACAACAATCTGTTGCTATTGACACCTCCAAAACGACCATGCGGCTCACTCTATGACTGGCCCTGTTTTGGGCATCTGCGCGTAGTTAGCTGTAATAGCAGTTGACGTTAGATTATTCTATATGTAAGCTACCGCCTAGTCTAGAATATTTCCATAAATGCCCGAATTATTCAGTAGCTGCAGTAATCACATTACATTACTTTCGCTCGGTAACATCATTCACCGAGCCTCCTCAGGATGTATTATTATATAATCATGTATATACGAATATTGTTCTGCCGCTAAATCTTCATTAATCATAGATCGATGCGTCTCCCAATCATTATCAGGTCTACTGTAAGGCAGATTACGAGTGACTGATAGATCATATAATCACTCGTCTACTTATGTATACAACATTCGACCTTTCTTTCGAGAATCGTGAACGTTCCAAGCTGCCATGGGTCTGTATAACAGGAGATTTGAGATACCGTACATAACTCGGCTTCACGATGTGGTGGGGTAGACACACTTTTGTCATTCTCTCAAATCAGGCTGTAGAGGTACACATCCAGCCGTACGTGTCCCCGAAGCGCACCCGTACTGCCATTGTTCTGTTCTAATGTACGTTATTGAATTTCGAAACGTCTCGAAGCTCTCGTGAATTTCGCGTTTTAGAAGAATATCGACTTGAAATGGAAGACGACAGGTTGCAGGTACTTCATTTGGTTTGGTTCTTCGGAAAATCTCATTTCGTGTTATTTTGGCTTGTTATACTATTTCCTGACTTAAACCTCTATTTTAACGCTGATTCTTGACAGTTGTTACCTCATCTCATTCACGCACTCTGCAGTGTTACAGCTCGCAGTCGCCATCTAACCATAAGTTACTCGTCACAAGTAAACTTTTACTTTTCCATTGGCTCGTTCTTCAAGCATTCATTCTTGATTTTTCAATCATTAGAGTGTCTTCAATGGAACTGGATATGAGATTCGTTGCTTTCTTTGCTTGAACTTGGACGAGGTTGATAAAATATTTTATTCCGGCTAATGTTTCGGCGTAGATCGCCTTCTTCAGAGCCTGGAACGATCGAAGCAATTTATGA